TAAGGCAGCCATAATTAAAATGCTCCAGTAAACCATTAAAGAACACTCTTAAAATAAATTAAATAGAAACTGTAAGCAAATAATGAATTATATACAAAGAAGAACCCAATGGAAATTTTAGAACTAAAAATTACAATAGCCAAAATTAAAAACTTGCTGCATGAGCTCGTGAGAGAAGAGACAATCAGCAAACTTGAAGACACAATAGAAATTACCAAATCTGAATAACTGAGACAAAATTATACTCAAAGGCTGAAAAATAAATTGAGAGACTCTCCGTGACCTGTAGGACAATAATAAAAGATCTGGCATTCATGTCATTAGAATTGTCAAAGGAAAAGAAATGTAGGGTTTAAAAAGGATTTAAAGAAATAATGACAAAAATTTCCCAAATTTGACAAAAGTCACAAACCTAGGGATTCAGGAAACAGAAACCCAAACAGGATAAATCCAAACAAATCCATGCCAAGACATGTTATGACCAAACTTCTGAAGAGTAAAGAGAAAGGAAAAATGATTGAAAGCAAGTAAACAGAATGATGCATTACCAGTAGTGGAACAAAGACTCAATAGTGCATGCTGCATCAGAAACAACAGAGGCCAAAAGGAAGTAGCAAATTTTTCAAGTGCTGAAGAAAAACAATTGCTAAGTTATAATTCTACATACAGTGAAAATACCATTCAACAGTGATATGGTTTAGCTGTGTCCCCACCCAAATCTCATCTTGAACTGTAATTCCCATAATCCCCATGTGCTCAGGGAGAGACCTAGTGGGAGGTGATTGGATCACGGGGGCAGTTCTCATGCTGTTCTCATGCTAATGTGTTCTCATGCTAGTGTGTTCTCATGTGTTCCCCATGATTGGATCATGGGGGCAGTTCTCATGCTGTTCTCATGCTAGTGAGAGCTCATGCTGGTATGTTCTCATGCTAGTGAGATCTGATGGTTTTATATGGGACTCTTCCCCCTTCACTTCTCACTCTTCTCTCTCCTGCCACCACATGAAGAAGGTCCTTGCTTCCCCTTCACCTTCCACCATGACTGTAAGTTTCCTGAGGCCTCCCCAGCCATGTGAAACTGTGAGTCAATTAGATCTCTTTCCTTTATAAATTATCCAGTCTTATGTATTTCTTTATACCGTGAAAACAGACTAATACAAACAATGAAGGAGAAATCAAGATATTTTAAAAGAGAGAATTTCCTGCCAGCCAACCTATTTTAATAATTCTAAAGGAAGTTCTTCAAACTGAAAGAAAATTATAAAAGAAGAAACTTGGACGATTAGCAGTGAGGACAGTAGAAAGGATAAATAATACCTCTATTACATTTACCCATACATAAATTATTTATCTCTTATGGGTAAACATAAGAGACTACCCGCGTTTTGTGGTTTAAAATTATGTTTGACAGTTGAAGCAAAACCTATCACGTCATGTGATGAGGTTCTCAATGTAATTAGAGAAAATATTTGAGATAACTATATTATAATGGGGAAGGGTAAAGGTATGTAAATGAAAACAGGGTTTCTAGATTCCACTTAAAGTAATAAAATGTTAACACCAGTAGACTGTAATAAGGTATGTATGTATAACATAATACCAAGAGCAAACACTAAAAAAAAAAAAAACTATTCAAAAAGATACAGTCAAAAACTCGATAGAAAAAATAAAATGAAATTCTAAAAAAAAAGCTTAAATAACCCATATGAAGGAAGTAAATGGGAAACAAAAGAAACAAACAATATAAATAATAACATGGCAGACTTACCTATAACTATCAATAATGCAAGATAAAATGTCAGCCTGCAAAATATCCATACACTAGGAATGTAAAATTTAAAAATGATATGGTTTGAAACTGGATTTCATAAAAATTAAAAACTTTGCCATTCAAAAGACACAGGTAAGAGAATGAAAGGGCAATCTCCAGAATGCAATACAACTCCTGGGCACTTCCCTTAAAAAATAAAAAAGTTATGTTCACACAGAAACCTGTCTATAGCAGCTGTATTCATAATTGCAAAAGACTAGAAAAAACCAAAATGTTCTTCAATAGATAGATAAGGTGGTCCATCCATAAAATGGAATATCATTTAGCAATAAAAAGAAACATATTAGATTAACCAACCTAAATGAATCTCAAACACGTTATGCGGAAAGAAACCAGTTTCAGAAAGTTACAGCCTGTATGATTCTATGCATATGACAGTCTGAAAAAAGCAAAGCTATAGGGAAGGAGAACAAATCGGGTATTAGTGGCCGTGGGAGGATTTGACAACAAAGGGGCAGGATTAGGAAATTTTTTGAGATGATAGAACTATTTGGTATACTGATTGTGGTGGTAGTTACTCAAATTTATATATATGTATAACTCGTAAAACTGCACATTAAACATTCAACATACTACATACAACGTTAAAAAATTTCTGGCCTCAAAACAAACTTGAATGATTATAGCACTGATATTTAATGCCTGATTGTTTTATCATGACACTTTTTGACATTAGTTTTTAACATTTTGACTTTTTTTTTTTTTGAGACGGAGTCTCGCTCTGTCGCCCAGGCTGGAGTGCGGTGGCAGAATCTCGGCTCACTGCGAGCTCCGCCTCCTGGGTTCACGCCATTCTCCTGCCTCAGCCTCCCGAGTAGCTGGGACTACAGGGCGCCCGCTGCCACGCCCGGCTAATTTTTTGTATTTTTAGTAGAGACGGGGTTTCACCGTGTTAGCCAGGATGGTCTCGATTTCCTGACCTTGTGATCTGCCTGTCTCGGCCTCCCAAAGTGCTGGGATTACAGGCGTGAGCCACCGCGACCGGCCGACATTTATTTTTAACATCACATTTCATTAAGAATGTTTCATACTAAACATGTTTCCATGTAAGTTCCCTGAGAGTAGAAAGTCTGTCTAGTGCTCTCATTTCATTGACCTAGCCGACTGACTACCACACAGCACTCAAACACATTTGTTACCTGAATAAATGTTTCACAAAATAATGCAACCCTCCCCCAAAAAGCTTACATTAAAGTTTATTCAATTCTTTAGCATTCTTTTAAAAATTTTTTCATTACCTGTTACTAAATTAAGACTGATCTAAAAAATAACTGTTTCACAAATTGCTATCACATTAGTGAATATCAACATATTTCAGGGAAAAGGTCCACACTTTAATAATGACTTGGCATTTAATTCAAGGAGCTATTTGTAAAGTGTAAATATTGCTGAGTGAACAGATCAGGATTCTGACTTATCTAATTTTAAAAACGCCTCATTACTTTTTCTTTAGTTCTATTTCATTAACGAATAAAATAAACTCCAAATGAATCACTTATAGGTAATCCTTCCTAAATTTTCTTGAATAGTTAGATTAGGTCTCTCAACTAATTCACTTCATTCAAAACCTTCTTTCTTTTTTAGAGACAGGTCATTAAAGATCATCAGATAAAGCATTGATACATTTACAACATGGATGAACCTTGAAAACGTTATGCTAAGTGAAAGAAGGTAGTCTAGGACCACATATTACATGATACCATTTATAAGAAATGTCTAGAATAGGCAAATCTATAAACGCGGGAAGAAGATTAGTAGTTTCATAGGGCTGGGCAGGATGGATAGGAGGGCTGGGGAGTGACAACAAAGTCATGTGGGCTTTGGTGGGGAGAGTAGGGGGGTGATAAAACTGTTCTAAAATAGACGTGATAATGGATGGTACAGCTCTGAATATACCAGTGAATTGTATACTTTATATAAGTGAATTGTATGACTTGTGAGTTATATTTCAATAAAGCTACTGAAATTATTAGGAAATGCCTCTGGGACAAATCTATGAGTCTATAAAATAGTTTTCAAGATAAGAGACTTCATTATAGCATGGAATATTTAGAACTAATATACTACACTTTAAGAGGTAAATGGGAGTATACAACATTTAAATCTCATACGGTCTGGTCATTTCCTCAAAAGCTTATCATTACATAGAAAAGGCTGTAAACAAAAGTTATACATGTTATCATATAGTATACAAAATAAGCTTCTCATTTACACCTAAGAAAATTCAGTGACATTTAATTACATTATGTCATAATGAGGCTAAATTCTAGCAACCTAAAAGACATCTAGGCTTTAAAAAGCTGTATGCCTGACTGTCAGAAATTAACTCTAAATGAAGAAATAGTTAAGTAGCAGAAGAGGTTAATTATATTGGTCTAACTCCTTTTAGTCTTAAAAATAAATAAATAAATGTTCTTTATTTGCCAGGCTGAATATAATAGCCTGTGAATTATAAGATCAAGCAACCAACTGTATGTTTTCTAAAACATGAATATCCTTCATCAAGTTTTATACTTAGGGCAGCTAAAAGACCTATGTGGAAAAATCAGCAGTAAGCCCAAAGGACAGGCAGTGCACAGCAAGAAAGAAGGCAATTCCCTCGTGTCTTCTGCAGGTCACTACCAAGGACCATGTTAGCAGATCCACACCAGACCCTTAACAGGCAGTTCTGCTGCTACCAGTAATTAGCTTGGACAGCTCCAGCTCCAAGAGTAGCAGCAAGGCTACACCATAATGAGCTCAGCTGGGATTAGCAGGACAGGGCAGGGAACCAAGAGAGCTCAGGCATTCTGCATTGCGTATGTATCTGGGAGATCAAACAAGGATGGCTGGGTAGGTTATCCCCTCTCCACCTCATTCCAAAAATGAAGCATGGCAGTGTCTAAAATACAGGCTAATGAAGAGCGACACCTCCAACAGATGAGAGCCACACTAATTAACACAATCCCTAGATCATATTATACAGTTTCTGTTAGAGCTAGCAACTGTGCAACTTGTTATTGCATAATACATATATATTTTTAAAAGCTAGTCTTTTTTTCTTTACTTTTATTGGCAAAAATCAGATTATTTCAAATTGTATAAAGTGTTTCTTTAATGGTCTTTAAGCCACAAAAAAATTTCTCCCAAATATTTTATCTAAGTCCATATTGTTAAAAATGAAACTCACTTTTGAATCATTAGCTCCTGGTTTTCCCTTTTGAAATATGCCAGTTCATTCCACACAGCATCACAATCTTCTTGTCGAAGTTGTTGGGGATCTGCTCTCCTTATTTTCCCGATTTCAGTCCTATTCTCAAAACAAGGTTGCTTTTTTCATTAACATGTCTGAAGTGCAATAAAAATTATTTTATACATTCCTTAAAATTTAAAAATATCTATTGACCAAATTTCTAACTCGAGTTCACCATTTATTGATTGAATTTCCTAAAACCTAAGCATGTAGAAATCAAAACCCTCTATCATAATTTTTTGAAGCTAAACTGCTAGTATGGAAAGCAAACTTTTAAGCAGACACATGATATTCTAAGGTCTACTGCTCCCATTCAGTCTAGCAGTAATAAAAATAGACACTGTAGAATTTTAATGGTCCCCCCCGCACACAAAAAAATCTACCTGCAACCAACTCATCTGCAATTTGCTGCTAACCAAGATGAATGTGGTATAGTGCCCTTATCTTTTTTTTAAAAAAACCTATTACCAGTGAATGCGTCAGAAAGTAGATTTCACTCTTCTAATGATTAGTTAAAAGTCAGGTGAACAGAGGATAAAACTAGGACAAACTGCTTTATCACTGCTTTACTGGCAAGTGATATGAAACACTTCCACTCATCAAAGAAAAAAATTAGATGTGACAATTATCTACAAGTGATGCCAAATGCCCTTTACTTTTCATTTTCTGAACATAAAACAAATTCTTCATTTTTATTTTGTAAAAGTGCTGTACTGGCCAATTTAGAAACACTATTTCTCTACAGAACAGACCAATGTGTATCATCAACATTGCCCTAAAGGATCCATCTCAAAAGATGAGAGGGTAGTAGATTTTCTGTACTCATTCAGTCCTTTGCCCTCTGTTGATACTGTTAACAGGGGAGCCACTTACGACTAACCAAGATCTGAACACCTGTTCAGAGCAACTGAACTGAGACCGCCAATTCTTTCAGATAAGCTGGAGAACAAACTGATGGATAGTAAAGATCTTCAAATTGCATACTAGGTTGAAGTAGTTTTAAGATAGTTAACTATGTATGTGAATTTCATATTTCTCTAGTCTTTCCATTAAAATTTAAACACTTTTGGAGTTATAAACATTTTAACACCAGTATTTTATTTATTTGAAAGTAATTTTTTCAGTCACATGGATATTAACCATTTTTGCTTTAAATCACATACTTTTAAGTTATTCCACTGATATTAAAAATGTGTACAATAATTCATAATCATTGGCTGCTAATGATATCTGCAAATGTGAGGAAAATTTGTAGTTATTACCAAACCATTCCTCTGTTTTAACTTGTTATATTTTCCATTTAAAAATTCACAATAAAGATTTGACTACCAAATAATTTCTTTAAAACCAAACAAAAGCCATTAAGACACCTATATAATGCTACTCCATTCCATTTAATATTTAGGGATATGCCTTTATGAGCTATGTAACTCACATGCCACCGCCTTCTTCCCACTGTTTTAATTGCTCTTTTACTGCTCTGTAGTTGGTCTGTAACATCTGTAGCCTTTCCTTGCGTTTTTCATGGGCATCTCTTAGCTCATCATTTTCTTGGCTCTGTAGAACACAAAAAGAGCAAGTATAATAGGAAGGTTACCCATCTAAATACAAAATGTGAAAGAAAATAGTGTGTAAACATGAATGAATCTGTAATATGTATCCAAGCAGAAAAAAGAATTATTCTAGTCGCAGAATACATTTGCTTGATAAATTCAACTCAGTCAATGCATTTTTTAAGCTGCTCACATAATTTCAAAATTTTACCATTAAGATAGTTTCACTCCTTTCCCTGTTGTTAACTAACATACATTCATAAGCCTATCTTACATATTTTTAATTATTTTCTTTTTCAGCATAAGGTTTTATCTATACATAAACCATGATTATTTTGTTAAAGTGCAAATATAATTAGTATAAGGACATTAATCAGAGTAAGAACAATTATTTAGCACATGAATTCATAATTAACATGTACTAAGATACAAGGATTACACATAAGGAAGAAAATGAGACTGGACCTATGTTAGAAGGAGCATAGTTTAACCTTCTGGGGTTGTACCATGAAGAACTGGAAAGGAAAAGTTAGGCTTACAACTCTTAAAGAGGTTGTAAACCAAGACATCCAAACATTACTTTGTTGTGTCAATACCTAGGTTAGACAATTATAGTCAACTACTTTTTTATTTATTTTTATTTTCCTGGAAACAAGGCTTCCCTCTGTGGCCCAGGTTGGATTTCAAAGCTCACTGTAGTCTCAAACTCCTGGGCTCAGGCAATCTTCCCATGTCAGCCTCCCAAGTAGCTAGGACTACAGGTGTGCAGTACCATGCCCAGCTAATTTTTTATTATATTTTTGCAGAGACAGGGTCTCACTATGTTGCCCAGGCTGGTCTCGAACTCCTGGTATCAAATGATCCTCCTGCCTCAGCCTCCCCAAATGCTGGAATTATAGGCATAAGTCACGGTGTGTGACACAGTCAACTACTTCTAAATGTATATAGCACATGAGCTCAATTTTCATTTTTAGATATACATAAAATGAATTTATAAAGACCAAATTCTTAATCCTCAGAAGATATATGCACATGACTATAAACTGTGTTTCTCAAAGTGAAATAAGTAACTTCTTCAGTTTCTTCCCTCATGACAATTTCAAATATTTTAATAACTTTTATTCATATTTCTGCATGAATGAACTTGTATACTTATTTGGTGGAAGTAACAGATACTCTCTAATATTAGAGTGAGGTGAGATGAGTAGGCATATGGTAATCAGAAAGACCTGAATTCCATTCTTGGAGCTTGCTCCTGTTAGTGGCATTATGTTAAGAACACCACTGAAATTAATTCAAGTTTTTTCCTGAAAAATATGGAAAAGAAAAAAGAGGTTTGAATTTTGATGAACTAAGTTAACCTAGTTGGTGGGGCCCCAGCCCTATTAAGGACACAACACAAAAGTTAGCTTCTTTCAGTCTCTTTTCCCCACATGTTAACAGTGATGCCCTTATCTTTTAGAAACCAAGTAACTGTTTTCTTGACCTCTCATCTAAACAGTGAGATAGTACTTTATAGAGTCTGCATTATTTTACTGGAATTCGAGCTGTCTCAGCAGTATGGGTAGTATGTCATTCTACTTTCACTGTTTCTACTAGGATAGTTCTCTTAAGTAGTTATTAAGAAGTATTTGAGTTTTGTTTGTAACAAGAAGCGTTCTACATGCCATACAGAAATGAAAGTGCTTCATGAAAAAGCAGAAGGGATTCCATTGACAAAGGCATTCAAAATAAATGTTTCTTAAGTAGTTTTAGAAGACATACAAATCACACATAATGTAAATTTGCTAAAGTAGGATAGTTTAATACATGAAGTAAAAGTAAAAAATTCAGGTTATTGAGTTCAATTTTGTTCATTTCAATTTAAGAACCATATATGAAGAGTCCATTATATGTAGGATGTTGTGCTGATAAGAGTTCAAATCTAGCTGCTCAAAGTTAACTAAATTTTACTTTGATCTAGTTACTTAAATTCAGTTATCTCAGATTACCCATCTTCAAAATAGAAACTATTTATATCTCTTCTTCTAAGACACAGAGAATAATCTAGTCTTGAACGTGAATTTTTCATATTAATTTGGTAAACTATCCAAATACTACTTAACTTCTTTGAACAAAAAGCTTTCTAACGTTAAGTATGTGAAATAATTTAAGTTAGCAAAACAGGAGACTAAAAATTAATAATGTTGATACCTTCTCATATATGAACATGAGTCAATTATGTTTATTGAGATTCCTTAAAAACTAGGAAAAAAATAGTGATTTCAGCAAGATATATTATAAATTTATTAAAAAAATGATTTAATTACAAGAAATTAATAGGCTGGGCGCATTGGCTCATGCCTATAATCCCAGCACTTTGGGAGGCCAAGGCAGGCAGATCACTTGAGGTCAGGAGTTTGAGACCAGACTGGCCAATATAGTGAAACCTCATCTCTTAAAAAAAAAAAAAAAATTAGCCAGGCGTGATAGCAGATGCCTGTAATCTCAGCTACTCAGGAGGATGAGGCAGGAGAATCACTTGAGCCCCAGGAGGCAGAAGTTGCAGTGAGCAAAGATGGCACCACTGTACTCCAGCTTGGGCGACAGAGAGAGACTCTGTCTCAAAAAACGAAAAGAGAAGAGAACAGAAGAGAAGAGAAGAGAAGAGAAGAGAAGAGAAGAGAAGAGAAGAGAAGAGAAGAGAAGAGAAGAGAAGAGAAGAGAAGAGAAGAGAAGAGAAGAGAAGAGAAGAGAAGAGAAGAGAAGAGAAATTAACAGACTATATTGGAAGAGATTCATGTCAAAACATAATTTCAAAACAAACTTAAACTAAAATGTCTATCTTATGTTAAAGACTTCTATGATAGCTTTCTATAATTATTCTCCATTGAATCAAAGTTCTTCCCTCAAACTCTTATTTTACAATGACTTTCTTAAAAATTATTATATATAAACTCAGTATCTGGGGAATGATTAAAGTTCTTTGTTAGAGTCATCAGAAACTGAGTAAATAGAACCTCAAAGATTGACCAAGATGTGAAAATAAATAGAAAGGGACGTACAAATTTTCTCAATTACTTTCACAATGATCCTCTGTTAAATTCATAGAACAAATTGAGATTCTTATAGGTACTGAAACTATTTTGAGGATTTTTCAGTACTGCCTCAACTACCATTAGTCATTGAATTCATGTGTTTTCCCTAATTGTCCATAGAAACTAACTACATTACACCATTAAACCAAAGACTGAGACTCAATAAAAATCTCCTGAGCTCTATATATCGTACATGATGTGCCAGACTCTGTACCGGGCACTTCAGTTAATAAAAGCAGTGAATGCTGCCCCTTCTGATTCCCAAAGCTTTAGTGTAAAGTGTTCAAAATTACCAAATAATTTCGATTTTCCTATAGTAATTTCAATAAGTGGCTCTTTCCACTAAGTATTAATTATAGAAAAAATAGTTTTATCCTATGCAATACCATTCAGGACATAGGCATGGGCAAAGACTTCATGACTAAAACACCAAATGCAATGGCAACAAAAGCCAAAATTGACAAATGGGATCTAATAAAACGACAGAGCTTTTGCACAGTAAAATAAAGTATCATCAGAGTGAGCAGGCAACCTACAGAATGGGAAAAGTTTTGCAATCTAGCCATCTGACAAAGGGCTAATATCCAGAATCCACAAGTAACTTAAACAAATTTACAATAAAAAAAAAAAACAACCCCATCAAAAAGTGAGCGAAAGATATGAACAGACACTCTGCAAAAGAAGATGTTTATGTAGCCAACAAACATACGAAAAAAAGCTCATCATCACTGGTCATTATGCAAATCAAAACCACAATGAGACAGCATCTCACACCAGTTAGAATGGTGATCATTAAAAAACTAGGAAACAACAGATGCTGGAGAGGATGTGGAGAAACAGAAATGCTTTTACACTGTTGGTGGGAGTGTAAATTTGTTCAACTATTGTGGAAGACAGTGTGGAGATTCCTCAAGGATCTAGAACCATAAATACCAGTTGACTCAGCAGTCCCATTACTGGGTATATACCCAAAGGATTATACATCATTCTACTATAAAGACACATGCACACGTATATTTACTGCGGCACTGTTCACAATAGCAAAGGCTTGGAACCTACCCAAATGCCCATCAATGATAGACTGGATAAAGAAAATGTGGTACATACCCACCATGGAATACTATGCAGCCATAAATAAGGATGAGTTCATGTCCTTTGCAGGGACATGGATGAAGTTGGACACCATCATTCTCAGCAAACTAACACAGGAACAGAAAACCAAACACCACATGTTCTCACTCATAAGTTGGGGCTGAACAATGAGAACACATGGACACAGGAAGGGGAACATCACACACTAGACCCTGTTGGGGGTGGGGGGCTAGGGAAGGGATAGCATTTAGAGAAAGACCTAATGTAGGTGACAGGTTGATTGGTACAGCAAACCACCATGGCACGTGTATACCTATGTAACAAACCTGCACGTTCTGCACGTGTATCCCTATGTAACAAACCTGCACGTTCTGCACGTGTATCCCAGAACTTAAAGTATAATTTTTTTAAAAAAAAGGTTTTATAGATGAGCCTTCTGCTTTAATTTTACTTGCTTCTTAATTTACTATATCTAACAGTACAGTATTTACATAATTCTTATAAAATTATCAAAATCTAAACTATTAAAAATAAAACTCAACTAGATATTATTTGCAAATCATTTGATAGACATAATTCATAAGAAAAAATCTTTTAAAATGCAGTTTCATCCAAAGATTCATGTTTTGGGGATGCTGCTGTCAAAGTGTAAATCAAGCATTAAATTAGTCCTAGAGACTATTGTTCCTTTATCTCACTTCAGCAACAGACAGTAAAATTTTGTAAAAATGTAAATATAAGATATATATAGCTCAAAGAAAAACATTTCTGCATTTTAATACTGCCAGAATACATGCCAGCTGAAGTCATCCATCAAAAGTTGGATATCTTAAAA